TAAACATTTCAAGACAACTAATTACAATCACATAAGGAAAGGGACTTGACTAAAACTTACAATATGTCTCACGCAATTAAATGTTAAAACGTCTCCAGTTTTTTGTTTTCTTTGTACATATACACTAAGGTTTCGTTTGGTATAGCAGTTTTTGAGTAAGGGTTAGTGGTTTTATCTAAATCGGTAAATATAAGTATTTGATAAACTTATATATTTTAAAATCGCTACAAGTAAGGTGTTTGGTAAAATTTTTATTTAACAGTTTGAGACTAATGGATAGCGGTTATAGTTTAAACCGTTAGTGTATTGAAAAAGTTAATTTATGTAATTTTTTGTATCAAATTGCTAGCATATTAGAATTTTTTAATTTTATTGATCAATTTATCTTTTTTAATTTTTTAATTTTTGGTCACATTTTTTAATTAATATTTATCTAATAAATTTCAATTTTGTTTTTTACCTTTAATAACATTAAATTATTATAATATTTTTTTGTACATTAATTTATAATTAAAAAATATATTATCTTAAAAAACAAAATTTATTAATTAGACAAAATGATTAATTTTTTATTTAAAAATAATAAAAATTTTTCTTTTTTAAAAATAAAAATGAGGGTATAATTACATTATTATAATTAATTTTATTTATTTATTTTATTATTATTATTTTTATAAAATTAATAATTTTAATAATAATAAATAAAAATATTTAAAAAATACACTTATTTGTTTTTAAACATGTCCTTATTAGTCATTTAATGTTAAACAATAACCACTAACTATTGTATAACCAAACAGTTATATTTATCGAATCTGTTATTTGCCATCCGCTACCCACTTTCCGCTATCCGTTAACTGCCACCCGCTACCCGTTACTCGCTACCGACTACGGCTATCCACTATCCGCTATCCACTACTTGTTATCCACTATCCACTGAATTTTAACTACTGTACCAAACAAGCCATAAAACCAAACCATGCCCAGACCTAAATATAGATATTTTATATGATGTCTCTCAACATCACATACAAATCCATGGTGCAGCGGCCACCATTTCTATCTGGCTTCAAAGTTATTTCCAGCTGTCTCAAATGCTAGAAATAGCTAGCATATGAGATTGAGAGTGCAAGTGGCTCTACCACTTTTAAAACCGCATTTGCACCATCAAAAGCAGAAATATTAATCCTGCAAATGATCAACATTCAAAATAATAAACGGACTAATATGTCTGTGTTATATACCTAGAAAAGAAATAAATATCTACACAAAGGATTTATAAGCAAAATACTCTTGACTAACAAAAGAATAGCAGATAACTCCACAAAAAACCCGGCCAAGATGTCTAAACATTTGCAAAAATAATGTAGATAAAATACTACATGACATTTTAAATTTTCAATCACAATATATTATATATAATATAATTGATTTTTTTACTAAGGAATACTCCTTAGATATTGTTTATTTATTAATCTTATTTAATGACACATTATAATTATAAATTTACAAATTTATGTTACATTTGTAACTATATCATTGCCAAAAAGTTTGAAAGATATATATTTCATTCCACAAAATACATACTAAGACTTGAAATCAAGAGATGAATGAACAAGAAAGAGGATTGAAACTATAGAATATACTCTTTTTTTTTTTTTTTTGGGTTTAAAAGTTAAAGGTGTCCTCATATTAGTTTATGTGTACTTTGAGACTAATCTCTTTTTGATCAGGTCAAAAGCAGGTCATCCACATTGGGACCGAAGAATTCATGCAAAATTACCTCCTCAGTAGCCTTCCCAAGGAATCAAACCCTGGTCAACAAGGTGGGGAGCATACCCCTTTACCACCTAAGTCACAACATCTTGATTAGAATATACTAATTATCGCTAATTAGGTGAGGATAAAGAAAATTAAATCTTAATGGTGATTATCATAGGTTATGTAGTCAAATTAGGAAAAAATTAAGGGTCATTGATCTACCTTATCAAGAAAGCTTTTACTACAAAAGTAATTGAGAAAGTGCTGTATGAAAAGTTATTAAATTTTGTAATAAAATTTTGTTAAAATTTTATTGGATTATTAACTTTGTTGTGTTTAATAAGAAATTGATATAGAAAAAGTTATTAAGTAGATTTAATATAAGGATAGTTATAAGAAACTTTTTCTTTTCAAAATAAGTGGGAAACAAACTTTATACGTCGGAAATTATATCAGAAAAAAACAAAAGTTAAAAATATCATTTTTACCCTCCTTTTAGTATAGTATTAATATATGAAAATGTATAAATACCTTATAAAAAAGAAAGTTTTAAGAGTTTTAAGAGGGAAAGTTTCCCTCCAACCAAACACCCCCTAAGGGTTTGTGGTTTTTTTTTTTCCCTAAATTTGTTTCTCTTTCGGAATTTTATTGGTGATTAATTTCAATTAAGGTGTGGACCATACCAAGTTGCAGGCCAAGTTGCAATGCCGTCCCTTCTTCAACAATAATTCGATGTGTACATAACATAGTTAAATTTTATATTTATTTTATATAAAAGGGAAAGCTAAAGAAAAGAAAAGAAAAAAAAACCAAGTTGGTTTGTTTTTCTACAAGTTGAGTTTATTAAAGGCTAACAACTGTGGTTCGATGCTTCTCTTTTACCTAGATCTGTACGTATTTTAAAGTGGAAATTGAATTCAATCTCTTGCTCCATTCCCTATCCAGCTGTTATAGAACAATATATGTATATATATATATATGAATTAAAATCTATTTATATATTGTAAATCTCATAAAAATTATAAATTATCATGATTTATCAATTTTTAAAATAATAAATATTTAGAATTTCCTTTTTCTTTTGTCAAATTAAAGTCAATATTGTTTTTTCTTTAATTTTCTTTAAACTAGTGATGCATATGAAGTTTCAAAGGAATATCAATATTGCATGCCAACTCCAATTAATTAATTAACTAAATGTTTTATAGAGCATTTGATTGAATATATAGGAGATGCTCATCCAATCGCCACTAATCCAAAAGAGAAAAATATATTGCAATGAAATTAAGGCTTTGGATATAAATAAATAAATAAATTTTATGAGCATTATATATGGTTGATGAAAAGAGCATTGCAATAATTAACAAAAAAAAAAAAAAAAGGTTGGCTAGGTAGGGTTCATTGAAACACCTAATGACACATATATAACATTATGGTTTCCAATTAGTACTACGTACATAAACAAGGGAGATCAGACGAAACAAAGATGTAATCTCACACACAAGGATTTCTGCTATCTTCCCGTCTTGTACCCACCAGTAAAAACACACACATAATTACATTCCACGTTACTAACTATGATCATGAAACAAAATATGCTAAAACACAAAACTATATATATAAGATCATTTTCAAGAAACCCTAAAACGTCTATGAATTTCCGATGTACGGAAAGTCATTATTCGACATTGTCTTGAATCCGACATCGGAATTGACAAAAAAAAAGAAAAATTCCTGAAACTGATCGGAAACTAGAAATCAGACCTTTATTACTTTGATTATGATGAAATTATCTCTATCTCCTGTCTCCTAGCCATGTGTTCTGCTATCTGTGCCAAAGATTGCAGGTTGCACCGTACAATTGTTCCCACGAAAAGACGCGTATCTTCTCTAGTGTTACCGGTCGGTACATCAACGACGTACGATTCCACGACAACGGTACCGGTCCCGCTCGGTGAAGCATGGAGGGTGGTGACAGATCGGTAATTGGTCAGCCGATGATCTCCGCCAACAACACTGAAGCTCAGCACGTGGCGTTCGTCGTCCAGAATCTCGAGGCGCTCGGTGCTGCACGCCGCAGGGAGGCCCGACACCACGTGGACCTCACGGAGCGTGCCCACGTTGCCGTCTCCAGTGATGACGTGGCAACTCTTCACGAAGTGCTTGTACCCCTGAGGATTATCGAACCGCCGCACCACGGACCAGACCGTGTCCACGGGCGCCTCTATGAGCTGGACAGCGTAGGAGCAACACTGGTTGGGACCCACCACGTGGGTATGGTTCCGCGCCACCGTGTCAGGCACAGACACTCCCCCGCATGATACCGGGACACATCGCGTCATGGTCGACCCTGCAGGAGCCTGTTTCTGGCAACTAAATGTGGCGGTGGTACGGTGGAGTTGTAAGGAAGAAGGCATTCTTGTTTTCGATTTCCTTATTTCTTCTTCTTCTTCACACCCTTCTCGGACTCTTTGGACTGTATTACTGAAAGTTAGGCTTCGGTGTACTTATATAAACCATGGAAAAAAAAATCTAGCTAGGGTTTGACGGGCAAGTTGGAATAGTTTTGAGGATTTTATTGAAGGAGAGTGGTGTGGAGGATGGAAGGGGGCGCTCTGGTCTTATCAGACTTCCGCCGGACGCTGCAAGTGGGATCTGCAACTTGCACCCTCCTTTGGACTTTGTTTAGGAAAAAATTTCCAATTATTTAATGCAAACTACAATATTGCCACTTTGTTAATCCTCCTTTTTAACGTGGATTTGTGGTTAATTACGTTTGATTAATTTTCCAATTTTTGTTAAACATTTTATTTAGGTTTGCGCAGGGGAAAATTAAAAAATTAAAAAAAAAAAAAAAACCTAGGCTTCTGTTATTATTAATTAATTTACGAATTATTACGTAATTGGCTTCTAATCTGAAGTGCTTTAACAAAAGAAGGATACTGACTTTATTGGGATACCGTCATGGACGATGTTTAATTATAGCGCGTATCTATAGAAATTCTCATATTTTTAATTTCCTTTAATTTGTTGAAAGAAATTAATTAAATAATTTTTTTAACAAATACTCCTATATTCTGATATTCATAAGCTTGTAAATAATGCCAGTAGCTTTTTTTTTTCCGGGAATAATAGAAGATCAGATTCCGATTTTCGAGCAACTTTGTGCTTTTTTTTAAAAAAAAAAAAAATCTGAATTAGAATTATGGTTTAAATGAATCACTAGTCAAATTCATTTTTACCCATAATTTATCCTTGTCTAGAGTTTGAAAGTCGTAACCCAAACTCATTACTGTTTTATAGGTCGCAAATCAAATGGGTAAAGGTCAAAACGCGTGATTACCAAATAGGAGATCTTTACCGTGACCCATTTTAAATGAGCGGATTAAGACCATATAAGGATAACTTATGTGAGGTATGTTACGGTTTTCCAAATTAAAAGAAAATTGTTATTTTTTTTAGAGAAAAAAAAAAAAACTTTTGGATACAACTTGGATGGTGGGGAGTGATGTGTGGGCTATTTATTTTCAATTACTTTCATAAGAGGAAAATGGCAAAAATTTTCCAAACTATTGGAAGATTCCAGAACACTCTAGCTAGCTAACTAGGGGTATGTTGATAACTTCACTAATCAAGTTGGTCCTATTTTACTTTATTATATATATCCAACATCAACTTTAATAATCTCTCTTTTTTCTCAAAAGACTCGAGCAAATCAAAGCCAATGGTTTTGCACAATTCAATTCACCCTACTCCTACAGGTCTACACCTTAATTAACATGATTCCCTTGCTTTCGAACTCTTCTTTATGTCCTTTCTTCATATTCTTCTATTCCAACCAACCTCCTCCAACTTGGTCGTTAATTAGTTGGTAAAAGTGCTTCCTACTTTGTGCTCTTCCAAAGGGCGACCATCTCCTTGATTTTCTGCTCGATTATAGTTCCCCTCAAAGCATCAAAACAATTCAAAATCTTGATTTTCTTAAGTAAATATAATCATAGATTATATAATACAAAATAATTTTTACCTTTTTAAACTTATACAATAAAAAAATAATTCTCACATTTTCAAAACTTTTCTTATTAATATCAAAATTTTAATTTGAAATACATTATATAAATTCTTAAATTCTTAACCATTAAAATATTCTTAACAAACAACATCAAACCCACAATTATTGACCCTTAACCGCTACCTAATGATTCTTTTAAAAGCAAAGTTTAAACAAAAATAAAATTTCCGAAAATTGGGGTGAGATGAAATCAATGTTTTTGTTCAATGCTTTTGCTTAGATACAACTGACTTTGAACTATTTATAATGTAAACTAACTAAGCTTGACATATATATTAGTCAAGTTGACCAAAGAAGGTTTCGACACTAGGTCAAGGAAATGAATCTGGTTAGGGGATCGGGCTTGAGAAAGAAAGAGGGGAAAGTTTTTAATTCTCAAGTTGGGAATGTTTTCTAAGGTTGATAGGTTGTTTCTTGACGTGTTTCGTGGAAGGTTCTACTGAGAAAAATATTTTCCTAAACAGAATTTATCCAAAATACCCACTTCTTTTTTTTGGACTAAAACCCAATGACCCCACTTCCTTTTGACATTGGAGAGTTAACAGAAATTCATCCTGATATTCCTGGTTTCAAGTCCTAACCATGGTTATGGCTTAAAAAAAGTCCTAACTATGGTTTCTACATAATTAACGCTGTTTTTTTTTCCCTGCCTGCACAAGCCTGCTTCTGTGTAATGTGTACCATGTAGAACAAAAACATAGAAAAATCCACTTTATTGTTCTATATATGTCTAATGATTTTTTTATCTATATATCAATGTGGTGTGCACGCGCGTGCCTGTGTACATCATAAAAGAAGATTAAACATCTAGCTTGTAATCTTGCAATGGAGAGTGCGTACATGTGCATGGGTGAGGTAGCCTCCTAAAAAAAGAGGTCGGTCCATTGTTTAAAATGCAGACTATCAAGGTTTTATTATTATCATAGGAATAAGATGCATATCTCTGAAGATTTGTTGGCTAGTTGTGTACTTCCAGCAGAAGCAGGATCCTATAGGATGGCTTATATTGGCTTGTTGCAGCCTCATAAATATACAATGCATGGCATATTTAAATGAAGAATACAAGAGTATTTATGATGCAAGCCAGTAATTTTCATGGCCCATTGGATTTTTACAGAGTATTTTTGGCTATGCCATGAAATTATGGTTGATGAATAGAAATAAACAGAAATAAGCAGTTCATTCACCTAGATTTAGGAAGATTTGGACACCTCTCTTACAATTGGAAAATTGTGGAAGTCCTGCACTTTCTTTTGCCTGGAAGAAAATCCTGCAACTTAAGTACAGTTCAAAAATGAATCCTGGGTTAGAAATAAGCAAATACCCATAAAGAAATATTCAGTAGATGCTAAAACTTGAAACTCTAATGGAAAGAAACAATAACAGAATGTATATTAGTAAAAATAATAAGTCTCCTAAGCACAATATCAGTATATGGAGTGATCACCAATCTTTGTATGACCTGGACCTCGTGGAAATAATAATATTTAAACAAAAATTTTCACTTTTCTCTGAGGAAGATCTGTGGGTTCTGGCAGCAAAAGAAATTAGTCATCCTTCAACCATAAAAGTTAAACCTATAATAACCTTCATATCATGAAAAATGTTGAGCTTTCACTGCTAATAGTTATTTAAGCCAAATGCATTTTTTAGTGGGGTACCACACCAAAAAAGGAGGCTCTCAGAATGGTTGGATATAATTCAGTTGAACTCATGCAGATGGAATATACAATATACTGCCTACGAACAAAACAGATAGGATGTAGTATATATATAATCTCTCCAAAACAAGTCACCTAACGGAAAGAGAATGTTGCAAACTGGCGCACACACAAGGAACTTGAAGAGATAGAAATAACAGAAAGAAAGTAATCATGGAATCCTAAGGGTGAATTGAATTGTCATACCTTCTAGAAATTTTGCTAAACTAGCTGCCGAGAACAGAGGATCTGTGACGAAAGATAGCTTCTGATACTTTCATTGTTCTACATATGGAAGCTAGTCTCTTATCAACCTGTCGAAGCCTTTTCATTTTTCATTATCATATGGAAAGACTTGACCTTGTCCTCTGCAACCATCTCCCTTAAAACATCATCTTCAATCTTTTCTGCTTGCCAGCAAGATGGATCCTCCACAAATGCTTCACTAAAAATCATACTTGATACCCATTCCTTCCATGTGGTCCTACGGTACTTGTCTTCCTCAAGTGTGCCTGATGCCAGTAGCTGATACACATAAACAACCTTTTGCTGACCAGGCCTAAAAGCCCGTGCTATTGCCTGCTTTGTCTTGGAAGGATTCCATTCAGAATCCAACAAAATCACTCTTGAAGCAGCTGTCAAACTAATGCCTTCAGCACAGGCCGTAATTGATGCAAGTAGCACCCTGGAAGGCCCACCTGGTTCCTCAAACTTGTCTATTATTCTTCCACGTTCAAATAGCTCTAGATCGCCTGTAAGAACCAGTATTTCTCTTCCTTTCTGCCATCGGAAGACATTCTCAAATAAATCCACAAATAAATTAATGGGTGCAATGTTGTGGCAGAAAAGTAGAACCTTCTCCCTCTTCACAACTCGATAAGTAAGGTTTAGGACAAACATCACTTTGGACCCTTTCTTAAAGTCATACTTCAGCTTCTCAAGCTCCATTTGTTCTTCTGCACTGAAAAATTTACCTACACAGTTAGAAGTTCTGACCAACCAAGGATGTATTGATGCAAGGGTTATTAGAAGCTCCAATTCCAATGGGTAGCCAGTGTATCCAGCCATTATGTCACGAAGTTTTACTAAAACATCATGTTGTATGTCTGTTGAATTCATCACCATGGTATAAATTTGCAAACCAGGGAGGCTGTCAGAATTTGCACCTTCATACACGTCAATGAATCCACTTGTTATATTTCTCAACATGTTAAGACCCACCATCCTCTCTTCGCCAATGTCTGAATCAATCTTCCTAGCAATAATGTCTAGGAAGAATTTCCTTGCTCGATTTTCTAACAAATGGCGAGCTTTTTCCACCCCACAGTTTTTCCTCTTGAATTTGGAGTCTAATTCACTCAATACTTCATTAACAAACTTTGGTCTTGCTAGGCAGAGGGTATTGAAATATTCACAAAAGTTGTTCTGGAACAATGTACCTGAAAGCAATATCCTCAGGTCAGTTTCAACTTTCATTAGAACCTTTCTCAACCTAGATTTGGTACTTCTGGGGTTGTGCCCTTCATCTAGTATGAGGAGTCCAGGGCTCTCCCTAAGCACTTTAGCCATATATTTTCTGTGAGCAAATTTTGAATCTTCTCGCATTAACGTGAGAAAAGAGGTATAACCCATAACAAGGACACTTGGTTGTGCATGCCACTTCTGTATTTTCTCAAGGCAATCCAGAATATGCATGACGTCTTGATTGGGTCTTGGAACTCCATTAAACCTCTCAGATCTCTGCTTAAAGACCCTATAAGTTTTGCGACCATGGATTAAATGGACAGGTATTGGACTTTCCCACTTGATAAATTCTTTGTACCAGGTGTAAAGAGTTGTCTTAGGAGCAAGGACCAAAGGCCGCTTTCCTGGGAATAACTTCAAGTAGCTGACAAGGAAGGCAATAATGAGAAAAGTCTTCCCCGCTCCAGGAGAATGAGATACAGCACAACCACCAGTATTCTCAGATGATGATTCCATGAGCGCAGGTACTAAAGAGCCAGCAATATTTTGCCACAGGAACTCAAAGGCCTTCTTCTGATGGAAGTGTAATTTCTTCCTAAATTCAGGGATTAGGGCCCAGATATTATCATTTTCTTCTGATAAGGGCGAATCTGAGGAATTGTGATTGAATGAAATATCTAAGCCCTCATCTTCATCGGCCTTGTACTTTGGATCTTCTTCACACCATTTACTGTCTGTTGTTGTCCAGCTTGTGTGTTCCATCTAGAATGGTGGAAAACAGAGAAATCAGAAAATGCAATTTAATAGAGCAAACTGAATGAACAAGAATTAGGAGAAAAAGGCCAACTAAATTGAAATGTCAGTCCCCAAGCTCATTATATTTGGGAAAAGGAAAAAAAAAAGGGTATTACATGCATCATAAGAAGCCCAAAAAGGAGTAATATACCATACATTCTAGAATCAATATTCATTATCCTTCTAAAAATTTTGCAATTATTCTTCTGTCCCATTTTCTATATCACTTAATTTTCATATTTCATTACGTCCCAGTACAAATGTAACTTCTCATGCAAGACCTTACATTTCTGAATTTTTTTACACTTAATCTTTTACATGAATTAACACATTGAATTTTATGCTAGAAAAGATTTTATGATTTCAATATATGAAAAATAATAACAAAGTCAATCTTTTACATGAATTAAAACATCACGTTTCCTGAATCTACACACCAGGTCAGTTGTTAAATATATAAACAGAATGGAGGGAGAATAAAAAATAAAAAGATCCTCTTCCCCTACATACTCAGAAAATGAGTAGCTGAATGTCAAAAAACAACCTGAGTCCTTTAAGATTTTTTCTTAAGGAAGAGGTAACTGAAACGATACTCATGTCTTCAGTTTAATACTTACAAAGGGTGCTGAAACATGTTTTATTTCAGTGCTCACAAAGCCACAGATATGACATCGGATCCCAATTTCTTCATCTAATATGTACTCATGCTGGCAACCTTCACTTGATTTTTTCAGAGGTTCGGTGGATACTCTAGCCTGAAAATCATTATACTAAAAGTAATGCGTCATGCAAAAGAGAAGGTTGAGATGTATGCAACAGGCAAAATTTTTGGTAGGTTACCTCATCCTCCTCAAGATAAGCTGATGCCATGCATAGTTCCATTTCTCTCCATAACATTTCAATTTCTGAGATTTCTTCCTCAGCCTGCACTGAGGGTTGTTCGGTTTCAATTCTTTTTTCTGATAATTTTCCCTTCTTAAACTCATTCCACTGGTCAATAACAAGTGGCTCCTCCTTTGTGATTGTAGAATCAATGTTCCTCAGATATGAATTTATCAATTTATTGTAAGCACCAGCACTTAGAGGTGTTTTTCTAAAACTGAGTGGTTCATCAAAATCTTCCCTTCTTGAGTGATCCCTTCTTGAGCATATAGAATGGCGACTCTTACTTTGGACTCTGTTATTAAAAAATCTTCTCTTCCACGTGAATTCATAATCCATATAGTCCAATGCAGGGATTTTTTGCCTCTGAGTCATGTGATTGCCATTCGATTTGTAATGCTTAAAAGAAATGCTATCCATTTCTTCTGAATAATTTCTAGGACTTTTAGGGTGGTGATACCTTTCAATGGCTAGAGAATCACTTTCAGATGGTACAGGAACAAGGGCAAGTTTGTTTTGATGTTCACTCAGAATTGGATTCTTCCAGCGTGATTTTACCTCACTTGACTTAGCCTTGTCCTTAGACACAACAATATCTTTTCTTTTACTCTGAATATGTTCTACTGAAGAACTTGGATTCATCCCAAATAAATGAGACAATGGTACAAGCATGTCCTCATCAGCATCATTGTCGTCATCATCATCATCATCATAATCATCCTCCTCCTCCTCCTCCTCTTCTTTCCTCCACTTCCTGCATGCCCCTGAAAGGAACCAGTTAGGATCTGGCTCCAGAGTATTATCACAGCCAAGGAAACGCTCAGGTTGTACATTCCTACGTTTAGAACGTCGCAGAGATGTAGCATTAAAAAATGATGATTGTCCACCCTCATCTGTATTACAAGAAGCACTAGGGTCTGGAGTATCAAACAGGCCAAATTGGATAACTGCAGATACTGAAGTTCCATTTTCTACTCTGAAATTTACAGCATAAAAACTATTATCAGATGTTAGAGGACTATTGTCATCATCCAAAATTTGATAAACAATCTTCTTTTCCACAGATATCACTTCAAATGCAATCTGCTTCAAAACTGATGTAACAAGCAGCCATGAAACATCAGATGAGAATTTCCCCAAAAATATCTTAGTTCGCTGAACTGTAGAGCAGTCCTCTGAGAAATCCCACCGGTAGTGCTGATTTTCACAATGACCTTTTTCAAGCTTTTGGAGAATAGATATCTGGTTGAGTCCAACTATCTCAGTGTCTTTGCCAAGTGTTAATTTCTCCAAACCAGGAGGACCTTGGTTAACATAGAAATTAACATAAAACAGGCATGAGCATTCAGACTCATGAGGCTTCCTCTCAATAGAACTTATTTTCGCATCAAGCCACACCTAATGAAAAAGAGAATCAAGAGTCACGACACAACTTGGATAAAAGATTCAAAGAAGATTATTGTGAACATAATTGCATATATCCAGAAAAGGCAAGTAAAGCATAAAATGGTAACATTAGCAATACTGGAAACCTAAGCACCATTAGAATCCCAGGATTATAAGTCATATGCCAAGAAGTTCAATGCATTAACATTTTGACAATCACAGCCAGAAGTAATCTCAAAGTTTTTCAAATAAGTTTAAGTCCTCTTCTCCAATCACTTGAGAGACACATTCCCCCATCCACTTATTTATAAGTAGCGTACTGTGCATGCACGTACAAGCTTCTCTTAAACAACATAACTGGATGGTACTATTGTAAGATATTCTGCAGCATGTTACTATATCTATTGCATGAAAATTCTATCAATTGATACATAAGGTGCTAAATGCCACAAGTAAATAAGTATAACAAATGCAAGCAGCTCAAATTCATCTAATAACTTACAGGCTCCTGATTTGCCTCATCAGAACTATCTGCCTGCAGTGAAAGTACGCATATATCAACTCCAGGCCTCAAAAAGCAAGTGCAGTCATTTAAGGTAGCCTCCCTTGACTTAATACGAAGATTTGAGAATGGACGTTTCTCCTCAATCACATGTTGATTATCTGTCAGATACATAATCATAACCCCATTCTCAATTCTTATGACTTTTACAGTTTGCCAGGAGCCACAATAGAAGACCTCAAAAGCTGTCAAACAGAAAGAACATCAGAGAAACTATCACAAATAATAATACTAAAAAATGAAATCCTATTTGACTGTAATTGGAAGAAATGTTTAACATATACTGTTAGTTGTTAGTCCTAACATAAAGTACAAACCAACAATGAATCACAAAAGCAATGTCAAATCTTTTTCTTCTTCCACATTAAAAGTCAAACTAAATTTCAGCCAAACAACTTGTTAAAAGAAAAAATTCCAAAGACATAAACTCTTACGATGTTCTTCAAATGGATGTTTCGATTGATGTAAAGGCCTTTTCCTCATCTTTTGCTGTCAACAAAGCCACTGATCACTTATCTGAAATGCAACCGATTTCGCAATTAAAATAAAAAATATGAGGAAAAAGAAGCTAAAAATTACAGAACCAGAAAAGCAAACCGAGAAAACACGCATCCTTGAAGATTACAAAGACCATTTCGCTACAGTCTAAGCACAAACAGTAACCAAACATCTTTTGCATGAAACATATACTGATGATTTTGCACTTAGTTACACAAATCCACAACAGGATCACTCCTTGATCATATTAAGGAGATCATTGAAATCATAATCAGCAGGAATAACTCTCTTAAGCATGAATTAAAGCACACAGTTGACAGAGGATAATCACCATTGCAAAATGCAACCAACCAAAGATCAGCAAATAAAGATCATTCCAGAGAAAACGAACATTGTTATTCTTTCAACAATCAGAAGCAGTAAAATGCAAGCGGAAAGCGAACGAAGACATGACACGAGCAATTTTACCTGCAATAAAAGCTGGAATTCGGAGTCGATTACGGCCGGAAATGAGAGAATCGAGGTAAGAAAGGAGGTCGGAATGCAGCGGCCATGGATGAGGTTGAAGGAGCAGAGAGCAGGATTGAGCGGGGAGTGAAAGGGAGACGAGGGGAAGAAAACAATGAGGCGAGGAAAAAGGTAGGAAAAGGACAGAGGCTGAGTCAGTCTGTGAAAATTTTGGAGTTTGTGCAATTGCCTACTGCATGAGGAAAAACGAGGGAGGGGGGGGCCAGTGTCAGTAATGACTGACTCAGTCAGGCTCGGTCATAGGGTGAGTGGCAGGTTGTGTAATTGTGTGGGGAAAAGGAATGGCAAGACGGGAATGTGGGAATGGCGTTAATTAGACGTTTGGGTGAGTCCGTGCCTGCGTGGGAGGAGCGGTCAGTCAGAGTTCGTGATGTAACGATGATATCTTTTCCGTTAGAAAAAATGCGCTTGTGGCATCAGTGCATCACCACATGCGTCAGTACCACATTTGTGACTTCACTGACTTGGTTAGTCACAAAAGTCAATTCTAAGTTCTTAGATATAAAAATAATAGTTAATCTTAACAGTTATTTAAAATTTAAAATTTAAAATTTTAATTT